AACTTCGAAGTTTGGCTGAACTGATCGGACCCTATGGTATGAAATATCTGAATGAGAGCCTTATGTGGCACATCGCCAGCCAAGTGACCGAACTTAAGGTGATCTCTATTTAGTGATATTTATGTTTCAAATGTAACACTTGTTTCGTTTCAACGCTTAGAAATTGGTTGTACTAAACAAAGATGTATTGGTAGGCCTGCGCTCTAATTATGATAAACCAGAACAGATGAAAGAGTTGTTTAGAAGACTGCAAAGTAAGTGATTTGTTACTTATTGGCTAATATTCATTGCAATAATTATAATTTATCGCTATTTTAATGCTTCTAAAGGACCGAAAATATCTCAAAGTATTTCCTTTTTTGCTCTATACATACATTTTTCATTGCTTAAACTAAATATTAATTGTTTGACAAATGAATTAATTGTATGGTTATGTGACAGATGTTGATAGTGTTCTGCAAAGAATGTCAATCATTGGAGTCATTATTTGCTTCCGAAGTCTGGCTCAGGACGCACTCAATGATTGTCTGTCAGAACGGATACCATTCCTCTTAAGTTCTATCGTTGACTTCAAACATCATGTCATGAATGGAGACTCAATGGTATGTCATTTCTCTATAACTCATCCTAACTTATCTTCTAATTCTTTGGAACCATTGCTTCTTTTGCTCACTTTCTTCCTTTTGAATGACAGCTCGAAAACATCAAATTACAGGTATTTCTCACTCTTATTCTCCAACTATTGTACACTTTTCTGAAATGTTTCTCATTTTAAACTCAATTATATCCTTAATTAACTTAATAATAACGACTGGCCTTATATTAGATCGTGAGTGAGATGGCGAGTGCGACCGGTCTTCCCTGTAAAGTAGATCCAGCGCTAGTGAGTGCACTTCGGTCTCAGAAATGCGGTAATAAATGCATTGTTACGACAAATGTCCGCAAATTATAATTTGTTTGTGTGATTGCATCGCAGAGTTGGGTGAAGACGAGTACCAAATGGCATGTCTTCTAATGGTGTTCATCGCTGTATCGCTTCCAAAGTTGGCTCGAAATGAGTCCTCATATTACAAGCCGTCACTCGAAGCG